AAATTAGTTGTTTTTGTCCTTTGTTTAACTTTTTAAAATATTTTTTTTATTCTCTTTTAGATTTGTGTAATTGACACATTATTTTATGATATTTCAATCCACAAACTCTAGATAAAAAAAGTCAACTAGTTTACCATTCGTGTCATAGCCTCCTTTGATTAATATCTAATGCACATGCTTTTACAGAAGGAAAATAATAACTAGGGGAAGAGAACATGTTGTTTTGTTGACTGCAGTTTTGAGTAGAAAACAATTTGTATATACTTAAAATAGGTGCAAATACTAAGCAATTTGTATAGACACATTATCTAGAGCTGCATTTTGAGCTAAATCGTTACCGGCTAAAAGATGATAATCAGTCTCCACAGCAGATTCTACATCATTACTCTCCTTGGTGAACGAATTAGTGTGAAGATCCCTTGTGATTCTAGCAGTAGTGTCCAAAAAGTACAAACCGAATGATGTCAAGCAGGAACAAGCAAACATCGGTATAGGTCCATAAATCCATAGGAAGAGAGGAAATGACAAGTAAAATGCTCGCAATCCAAGTGACCAAGAGTAACTAGCGCGATTCATGACCTTACCAATATATTCCATATACGCCTCTTTATCTCGAAGTGTAGGCGCGGTGATTAAGAAGCTGACATGACAGTAGCATCTTATAGACTGAATATTGCATAAAAACGCAACAAGGAAGCAGATTGTAATGGAAATACGTTTGATTGTACGAGTATTGTCAAGTATGGAAGACGTGTCGTCAGAACTCCACGGATTGCTAGTGACAATACCGATCAGTGAACTTAAAGTGATTGCTGTTGTAGCTAGAAGAGTCGATGCCATGATATTGTTGCGGATTGTTTGGACCGCCAAAACGCCATTCTTGAAGGGATCCTGAGAATATAACAATTGAATTAACAATGTTGCACAAAAACTAGATAATAATGGCCTTGTTCACCTAACCAAAAAGAGAATTGACTCACACTCATCATGGCATAAACCCATTGATGACGAGACTCAGCGTTTAAGCCAATGATAGTTCGACGAGGTTCACCAAGAATAGTGAAGAGAAGCCACATATGGTACAAAAGAAACACCAATAGTCCTAATGCCACAAACACATACTCCAAATGCTCATTCACCATGCTTGATACAAGATTGGTTTGATTCTATGGTAGTAACTCAAAATTAAGATAACGTTTAGGTTTATAACAACCTTACCTTGTAATCAGACCAATCCAAAGACATCAATCTTATTAATACCAAACATGAGTGTCACATTAACAGTGACCACGAGTTGTTTTTTTTTTTAGAAATCGAATATCAATCTTCTACAAAATTGTAGAGACTAATCTCTTCAACCGGATAAAACTTCAATGGTTGATAAAAATTTAAAAAATGAATGATGTGTTAACAAACAATACTCTTTCATTGTGTTGCAGGCTAGTCGAGTGACAGGAAATATATTTTGTCTCCATATAAAACATGTGGTCCAGCTGGTATACTTTCCAAAGCTTGGATGGCCAAGCATCGTATTCCTCGGTTTATATGCTATATATATTCAATTCAAAGTGGTTATATAATAAAGATATTAAGACTACCATTTTGTACATTATTTTATTAGAAATATCAGAGAGTATTTTGTATTACATCTTCATGTTATTCTTTATATTCAGTTGGTGGTGTCAGATTAAATGACACATCTCTATTGTGCGTAGGGTATGACTTATGGATGTAGAGAAGGGACAATGGCCGACCTCTGTACAATTTATGAGTATTCTCATGAGTAGACATTGATTGAACTATTTAAACAAAGATTATATATATTATTTATCCACCTAAAATTTTAAGGTAATAGGTGAGTGAATTCTCTCACTTATATATGCTTAAATCTCCACATTCCTATCTAATGTGAGACTATTTCTCCACTTACTCACATTTGTTATATTATTCTAACAGTTCATTGTCTTCTGATTGATTCTCTATTTATATAATCTTTTTTGTTATTTGTTATTCTTCTAACAATTGATATCAAATAACCCTAGTGCTAAATTCAAAGTGGCAAGATTTGATCAAATGAACAATTTTGGATGATTGTTAAGTATTTAATTACTCAACAAAATTTACAAAGAGGCATCACATGAGACGTGGATGGTAGATATGAAGGAGGAGCTCACATGATTGATATGTTTATGAGTATAAAAGAGGTGATTTATCATCTTGGATTTGAAGACTCTGAGTATGGGTGAGGTTTGAGATAAATTGGAAAGTTTGTATATGTCCTAGTTGCTAACAAATAAATTGTTCACCAAGCAACGACTATACAATAGAAGGTGCAGGAAGGATCTGGTTTGCAACAAAAAAGTCATTACCTAAAACAAAATAATAACTTATTTAGCAAGGTTAGGGGTGAAGGTCGATGACGAACCGACCGGTGGCTCAATATCCACGCGAACAAGGCTAGCCAAATTGGTCAATGGCTTAATATCCACCCAATACACGACCCAACTTCAATCAACCACCTGACCTCTGCTTGCTCATGCGTCTCTAACGACCACCTTCATTCAACGCGCCTCCACCTCCAAACCCCTACAACTTCACCATCGCTTGCCGAAAAAACATCGAGTTCTAAAAAAATGTTTTCTCTCTCTTTGTATCACTTAATATTTTGAGGAATACTTCTACAATTTTCCACCTTAACTCAAAACTTATGGTGATGTCAACTTAACAATTAAAGCCAACGAACATGAATCTTTACTCAACAAACTTCATTAAGTCTAATGCTTGAACTTTGATCTTGACACTTGCATCCAACCACCATTTGTTTCTTAGATAGTTTCACAATCCTACAAACATAGGTCTTCATCAGTGAATGTGTCTCATCTCCATGTTTTTCAACCATCTTTGACTTCCTTTTTATTTTTAATATATTCTTTGAGGTCTATGGTTCTGAGCCTTACAACCTTTCACCCACATTCAAAGCATAACAATTAAAGTCAACATAATTGTATCTCTGAGGTGGTATAATTTCCTCCCTTAACATATCTCGATTAAACTGATACTCGGGAGCCACTATAAATTTTCCCTCACTATAACTAAAAGTAAGAATCTTAACTTCCTCCTCATGTCTAGTCCCTCTAATAGGAACCACGACATTAAATTGAGTCTTCTTCACCATAATGTTTTATCCTTTCCCTCTAGGTCTTTACATTTTATCCTCATATAGATCTCATTGAAATTAGCATACATTCTTATGATGAATTTTGATCCTCCAAGTTCCACCTTGATAATAACCAATAAAGACACACTTAACAACCTTAACATCAAACTTGTCTCCTTTAGTATGTACAACCACCAAAGCTCTAAAGGCCTTCATATTAGAGTAATTTATTGGTATCCCATTTCAAACCTCCATAGGTGTATTGAAGTCTATTCTTGTGAATGAAAATTGTCGATCAAGTAAGTTGTTGTACCGACAATCTTACTCCATAAACTCTTTGGAAATCTAAATCCCAACAACATGCTCCTTACCACATCTCTAGAATGGTTATTTTCATGCTTTGAGCTAGGCTATTTTGTTGAGGTGTGAAATCAACAATTTTATGCGTCTTCAAACCTCGTTTCCTATATAAAAAAAATCATTAAACCGCTTTAAAAGGTCTCTGGTCATTTCTTCTTTCACAAACATACTTTGATCTCAATTCTCATAACTTGTTTATGTCATGAAAGTTTTTACTATCTTCTTATGTGTGACCAATAACAGAGGAATCCACTAAAATATATAACCGCCTCACATTTATTAGTATTTAACCACGACTCATGCACTATGCAAAATTTTCAACATTCTAGATCAATAAACATACTTATGGACAACAAATTTCGATTAAGCTTAGGAACATACCTCACACTTTGTAGAAAATACTCATGATTATCAAACATTTTAAGTCAAATTGTACCAATGTCATTAACTTTACAAACCTTATTGTCATTGAGTCGAACAACTTCACCTTCTTTCAGCTCCAAAGCTCTATTTTATTTACTTTGGGTTGTTTGCAGATGTCACTACAATGAATTCCAACCGTCTAATATAAAAAATTGGGCCCCTCAATTATTCAAAATGTATTATGTTAGTCATTTTCATTCAAGTGTCTCTAACGACATCAATTTTTGGTTGACCTATAACATACCTATAACATTTAACTTTTGTTATTGATTTAGCGACAAAAAAATATTTTCTGAATTTTGCTTGTAGTCCTTCATCATCTTCGTCAACCATAGCCATAGTTCAGATTAATCAACATTGTCACAAAACATTTTGCTTAAGCTCTCTTATTTGATCAAAGCACAACTTAGAACATAAAACCACATCCAAAATACAAAATCATAACCACAATATTGACTTTTGAATAACAAAATAAATATAAATAACTAATGTGATTCAGTTTTTACAATCGAATGACTCAAATTTAAATCTTTTTGAAGTTATAAAACCAAAATGAACTCCGAATTTAAAATACAAGATCAAAAATATATTAAACCTAAATAAAATAGAATAAATAAATGTATATTATGTTATTTGAATTGATAAAAAAAAGGAATGAAATGGAATGCATTTCCATTTATTTCATCACTTTCCTTAATTTTTGTTCTCTTTAAAGTTGAGAGGAATAGCAGCTTCGTTTCATTTCATACAAAATAATATATATACAGTACACAACAGAAGGAATTATACATTTCTCACATTCATTCCATACAAAAAATATACACAATAGAATGAATTCTACATTTCACAGTTTCATTCTAATGGAAATGAGAAAATACTATATATTTTTTTCATTCATTTCTTATCTTTACACATTACACATGTATCATATTGTTGGCTAGGATTTCTCACATAGATTAAAATCCAATCAAAAGTAAAAAAAAAGTGCTTTGAGAACTTTGAATTATAAGAAATCAACCACAGAAGCAGTCGACCCGAAAGAGATTTCTTAAGTAGTCAATTGGGCTTGTCGACGCAGTCGACTAGAAAGAGGCCTCATGAGGAATGGATTGGGCCCAGGAATGTTAAAATTCCAAAAGAGTGCATAACTAGCAAAGCAAAGTGTTATTAATGGATAATATGGGTTCGATAGCGGAAATGGAGAACGTGGGATCATGGAGAGAAGTTACCAGAGACACGTGGCATACAAGGAAGCGAAGCCCGCCAGAAAGTAGTTAATTTTCATGTATTATAAATAAACACTTAGTGCATCGTGTAAAAGGTCAAACTTTCACATTCCTATACACTAGTCACTCAGAGTACCCAAGCGAATGAGTGAAATGAGTCAAGCTAGGTCAATGTACGTTTGGACCAACATATTTTCAACTGTTCTGATGTTATGTCATTTATGTTTACAGTTTAAAACATCTTTTGTTTCATTTTACAAGTCTTACTTTATTGCTTATTAACTCGTTTGACACTAGTCGAACGGATCCTTTTGAACATACTTTGTGAAAACACTCGAAAACTGAAGTACGGTACTGAGATTCCCTAGTCGATCTCGCCAACAAACTTTTTGTTAAGAGACTAGCGTTGTTTGCCAAAACCAGAGGCAAACACATATATATATAGGTTGATACAAAGGTGACTACACTTATTACATTTTTATTGCCTATATTATTTTTCACACATTATATATGATATTTACTCTATTACTCCCCCACAAACTCAAGGTGGGTTGAAAGACAGAACTTTGAGTTTTCCACAAAGAGACTAGAATGCAACAGTGCCAAGAGGCTTCATCAAGGTATCGATAATCTGAGCGTGAGATGGAATGTGTTTGATTAGTAACTGTTACGCAACAACCCTCTCACGGACAAAATGAGTGTCCAGTTCTATGCGTTGGTTCGTGCATGCAGAACCAAATTATGGGATAGAAGTAGTTCACTAACATTTTCACATAGAAGGGTGGGGGAAGAAAAGCTACCTGCAGTTCACTGAGCAGGGTTTCAATCTATAAAAGCTCAGAGGTAGCATGTGCAAGGCCATGATACTCTGCTTATATACTGGAGCATGCCACCAGGAGTTGTTTCTTAGAGCTACATGCCACCAAATTGGGGCCAAAATAAACATACGAACCTGAGGTAGAACGACGGTCATCCG